GAAGAAGTGTTCTGAGTTTTTTCACATAAATATGCATGGCTTCTGCAAGTACTCACCAGGAGACGTGTGCTGGCAGGTCCAAGGTTTAAAGAATTAATTGGAAAAGAACTCATTTTTTTTCTTATAGATTTGTAATAGATTCCCACTATTCTATTTAATGGGTGGTTTAAGGTCGAGAAAGGTGTGTGTCAGGGTTGTATCCTTTCACCCTACTTATTCAGTCTGTGTGCTGAGCAAATAATGTGAGCAGCTGGACGATGTGAAGAAGCACGCGGCATCAGGATTGGAGAAGACTCATTAATAGTCTGTGACATGCAGACGGCACATCTTGTTTGCTGAAAATGAAGCCCTGAACCACTTATTGATGAAGATCAAAGACCACCGCCTTCAGTATGGATTACACCTCATAAAGAGAACTCAAATCCTCACAACTGGACCAATAAGCAACAGCATGATCAATGGAGAAAAAATGAAGTTGTCAGGGATTTCATTTTACTTGGACCCAGAATCAACACCCATAGAAGCAGCAGTTAGGAAATCAAAGCATCACACTTGGCAAATCTGCTGCAAAAGACCTCTTTAAAGTGCTAAAAGGCAGAGATGTCACTTGGAGGACTAAGATGTGCCTGACCCAAGCCCCTATTCTGAGGTTTCTTCAGTCACCTCATACACATGCGAAAACTGGACAATGAATAAGAAAACCAAAGAAGAATCGATGCCTTTGAATTATGGTCTTGGCGAAAAATATTGACCATCCCGCAGGCTGCCAGAGGATGAACGAATCTGTCTTGGAAGTGTGGCTGGATTGCCCCTTGGAAGCAAGGAGAGCATGACCTCACAAACTGGGGACATGTCATCAGGAGGGACCAGTCCTGGAGAAGGACGTGACGCTGGGTGAAGGGGAGGGTCAGTGAGAACAGGGAGGGCCTTCAGCTCAAACACAGCGAGGACCGTGAGGGCGGCATAGGACGGGGCAAGGTTGTGCTCTGTTGTGCGCGGGGCCGGCACCCCACAACAACAATTCCATTTCACAGTATTTTCCAGGCCACAGAAAACATGCAGGGTCTTGTTGTGAGAACCCAGCTTGCCTGCCCCCAGTGTCAGGACCCCAGGGACCCTCATGGTAGCAGATTACATGAGTTCCTGGATTTCTGAGTGACCCTGGCTCACTCAAGTTAAAGGACAAATTACAAAAGAAAAAAGAAAATCGTGGCTGTCACACAAATACGCAAAGGACCTGTGTCAGATTGCAGTTAACTCATTAATTAGTGAGGAAGCCAGTGAGACGTTACAGCGGTATTAAAGGAGAATTCAAACAGCACATACCCACAGAGATGACCAGAAAGCTGAAATGAATTTATAAACAGACACGCAACCGGTCAAGCTTTACAGGGCAACGGCCATGTACCCACCAGACAAAACTTCATGTCCATTTATGTGGACATGAATCATTGGCATGACGGAGGTTTTCAACAGTTTACAGAGCTGTCAGCCGGACAGTGAAAAGGCTCTGGCTCAATGGAAGCTGTAACCACAAAGGGCGCTAGATGGGACACGGTGGTCTTCTTCTTGGTCCACTTCATGGTCTTTCACCATTTTTCCTGACAGTCTCCCCCTTATGTTCATAATAATCTCAAAGAAAGATTTTTGGGAATTGCTGAAGGAGGGGCAGACCCTTTTCCCGCTCAGCACAACTCCCAGCCTGTTTGTAAGATCGTAGACTGGCGTCTTGGCCACTGAGCCACCAACAGGCCCTGTACCCTCTCCACTGGGGCGTCCCTGGGCCCCTCGCCTTCCACCTGCCCTGACCCTCAGAGCAGATTTCCACTCGCTGCTCGGCCCTGCCTTACCTCTGGACCTTGCCCAGCAAGGCACCGGGGACTGCCCGCCCATCCTTGGGCCTCCAGCTGAGCAGAGGCCCCCAGGGGGGGGACCCCAAACATTGCCATCTGCTGAGAGGCTGAGTCCAGGTGCCTGCAGAGGCCTGCGCGTTCCCCACGCAGCGTCTAACTCTCCTCGAGGGCCTGGGCAGCGCTTGGGCCAGCTCCAGGGTTCGCCCCATAAAGCCCTGCGGTTGGAAGGGCAGGTGTGATGAGGTGCAGCCTCCACCATGCAGTCCTCCGTTTGGCTCTGCAGGGCCATGGTTTTCAGGAGAATGGTGTTCTAAACAGCTTGCCAGGTGTTGGCTGCAAAGGGCATCGGAGTAGCTGAAGGAATGGGCCGACTGGATGGGGTTACCCAAGAGGGCCTGCTCGCCTGACGCTGAGTGTGGGCCAAAGAGAACTTCCAGCTGCACATACTCACTGTGAGGCATTCTTTCAACCGTAATTACCCAGCACGTCCTGCTGCTTCTTCAGGGCACTAATTCCTAATAAAAATGCAGGCCAGGCTACTGGCCCAGAGGCAGCCAGGCTATCGGCCCAGAAGGCAGCCAGGCTATCGGCCCAGAAGGCAGCCGAGGCCTCCAAGGGTGCTGGCCGAGACACCGCAGCCAGCTGAGAGCTGCATGGGCTCCTTAAGCAAAGGTCACAGACTTGCTGTTGTGTCATTGTGAGGTGTCGTCAGGTCGGCTCCGACTCACAGAAACCCCAGACACAACAGAAGCAAACCCTGCCCGGCCCGGCCCCGGCCCCACAACCGCGCGAGCCTGAGCCCATCCCTGCGGCCCTGTGCCCACCTACCTCGCTGAGGGGCTTCCTCCTGTTTGCTGACCCTCTCTTCCACCAAGCACAATGTCCTTCTGCCCCGTGTGACCCAAGTCCCGTAGGCGGCTGAGGTCTGGACCAGCCCAGAGCGCCTATCTCACCCCCTGAGACTCTTCATGGGATAACAGCTCCATTAGAGGCTCACAAGGAGGACGACTAGGAATCCCTACCAGCTCCAGGCGGGGCCGGCCAGGGCGGCCTGAGGTCAGCAAAGGCCCAGCGGCTGTCATCACTGCCTCAGAGAGAGGACGCCACGTGGCACCTACACAGATGCCCACTGCATGGCAGGCAGTGTGGTGGGGACCACAAACACCAAGAGTGCTAACGCTCAGACCCCACCCTTAAGGAGCTTGCTCTGGAAGACAGCATAGAGATGCATGCCGACTGCATGGCGTAATGGACGTTCTGCGAGGGACAATTAGAACGGTATCGGAACCCCGGGGAGGGAAAGGTCTGCTCCTCCCGGCAGGAGGGGGTTTGGGTCAAGAAAACACAGAGGGAAAGTGGCACCCGAGGTGGAAGAACGCCCCGGGCCGTGCTCCCCACACCCCCTGCCAGGCCCGAACCACAGGCGGGGGTCCCGTCACGTGGGTTGCTGTTTGCCCCCAGGCTGTGCCCTGTCCTCCGTCTGGCCGGGCCTCACCTCGTGCCCCTTGTAGGGTTCCCCTGATTTACGCACCATCACGTCCTAACGCTGAGGGCGCCCTCCCTCACATGCCCCTGTGGGCTCTGCACGTGCCCGAGCAATGGGGCTCCCTCCACGGCAGGAAGCTCTGGCTCCATGGGTGGTGCCAACGCTTAAGAGCTCAGGTGCGAACCAACAGCTTGGTGGTCTGAGTCCATGCAGAGGGGCCTCAGGAAAAAAGGCCTGGAGGGCTACTTCCAAAAATGCCATGGCCACTGGAAACCCCATGACACAGCTTTACTCTGTCCACGTGGGGTCGTCACCAGTCACAAGTGACTCAGTAGAAACTGGTTTGGTCTGGTTTGCACGAGGCAGGGCGTGCTGACGGGTCTGACCGCCTCCCTGCTCGTTGCTCACCCCTTTGCCTCTGCGTCCCGGCTCCCAGCTGAGCCTCTCAGTGAGGTGGCGCTCCACAGGAGCCAGAGATGTCCCTGGTACTCAGCAGGTGCCCAGGAAAGGGTCGCTTTGAACGGACAAGTGAATGGATGATTGAACAAGTGCACAGATGGCTGGCAACACAACTGCCTCCTACTCAGGCAAGCAGGCTGGAGACCCAGGCCATGATTTGTTGAGAAACCAGCTGCCAGGGCGTTTTGAAGCCCTGCCTGGTTTATGTACACGGGGCACCACATGGAACTTCCCCTTTGCGAGATGGTCCAAGACGGCGAGTCCACTGGGGGGACTCCACCGCAGAAGTTCACGTTCGTGCACTTGCTGAGGGCCCACGAAGTGGTGGGGCTGGGGCTACAACGATGAAGAACACATGGTCTCTGACCACAGGGACACTGTAGCCTGACGGGTCACCGTCAAGGTGAATGTTGTCAGACAGAGTTCTGCAGGCAGAAACTCGGCTCCTCTCCCATGCTCTCCGTACACATCACCGGCTAGTCCTGTCGTGCCCTGCCCACAGGCCTGGGAGCTAGGATCCACTCGATGGCAATGGGTCATGAAAGCCTCACGGAAACCTTGTGCGTGTGTGTCGGGGACAGGTGAGTCGGCTCTGATGGTGTGCGTGCGCCGGATGCCAGCGAGTGGGCTCCGACTGTGTGCGTGCGCCGGACGCCGGCGAGTGGGCTCTGGCTCATACTGAGCCCACGTCCAGCAGAACAGGCAGTGCCCAGTCCTGCACCATCCTCATGAAAAGGCCCTACTCCCCACAGAGGTTACTGGATAGTATCGTGCCAGTCCCTCCCCGCTTTGTTCAGACTGACTGAGACAGGACCAGGGTGGCTGGCTACAATTCCCAGCCTCTCAGTGAGGCGGAGCTCCATCAGTAGCCAGAGGTGTCCCCAGGAGGAGGCACGGGGACAGGACTCTGACATGGAAGCCACCGTGGCCAAGGTTGCAAAGTTAGGAACCGAGAAATGGAAACCCTGGGCACTATGCCATCCTGGGCACCTTTGCTCAGGGCAGCCTGTATGGAGGCCATCCCGCTGGATTTGGCCCCGAGTCCACGTCCTCAGACAAGGATCCGCAGCCCCACCCGCAGGTCTCAGCAGCTGGCCCTGTAACCCAAACCCTGCCGGGCAGCCTCCCATCTCCCTAGTTGTTTCAGTTCTGAGCTGGGAGTCAAGGTAAGGACGTCCACGGTGACCATCCCGTCTACTCACTGTTTTCCGAGACTTCCACGATATAATACAGCACAGGGCTGTTTCCGTCGAAGGGTCGCACCCAAGACAGCGTCACGGAGTGGCTGCGGGAGGTGTCCAGGCTGGCCAGGAGGTTCTGCGGTGGGTGAGGCAGCTCACTGGGGGCCACAGGAACGGAAGAAAGAGAAGCAAAGTGTGGTCAGACCTTCAGAAGCGCCGGTCAGCCTGGGTCCCCACTGTCCGGAGGCCTGGTGTCTCATACTTGGAAAATGAAGGACGTAAAACATGTCCAGACACAAATACTAACCACCCCTCCACCAAAACGACATGCAAAAAAAAAAAAAAAAATTCCCCAAACATTACTACCATTCACAGCGTCACTCTGTGCCCAGCACGTGTTGTAGCTTTGCAGGTGTGGCAGCTACGGAGCCAACAAAGGGCTTAGGTAGGGGCGGGGGTATTCCTAGCCACAGGGCAGAGCACTGACCCCAGAATGCCTGTTTGATCACTGCTTTCCGACTGCCAGTGGAAAGGAACAAGCCGCAGGGGAGACAACCATCAGGGAGCTCCTGTAGCGCTGAGGTGAAGGCATTTGCCCTCTCACCAAAAGGTTGGTGGTTCGAACCCACCAGCCACTCCGTGGGAGAAAGATGAGGCAGTCTGCTTCTGTAAAGACTGACAGCCTTGGAAACCCTCTGGGGCTCACTTACGAGTCAGCTTGGTGGCAGTGAGTTCAGTTTGGAGCTTTTGAGTGCTGACTGCAATACAATACCCACTTCAGAGTCTCTCCCAGTAAGATCTGCCCCCTTACTCACCACCGTGAGCGGTCTAAGCCCAGCATCTAACCTTCACGTTCCATAAATCTAGGAGCAGGACCCTGCCCTGTGGTGGCTGTGGTTGGCTGCCCCTTCGATAAATGTCCCCAGGCCACACTGGGGACAGGAACACTGAGTGTGACCCAGTCCATCCAGTAACTCGTTTCTGGACTTAGTCATCAATTACTGTTGACCCCGTGGGTCAGAACAAAAAGCCATAATTATACTTGATATTTTTAATTTAAAAATGTACTCATTACACTTTGGAATTTATTAAGCTGTTATGTGCCTGCAGCAACCTAAGAGAGACAGCTTCTGTGAACCCGAGCCCGGTGCTTAAAAACAAGCTAATATTTCTGATGTGGACGGCGGCTTTAAATTAGCGTGATGAACACACATGAACCTGGCGATTCCGCCTGGTTTCTCTTTAAATGTGAGTTGAGTTTTAAATCAGAAAGGAGTTGCTGTCTTGAGTCCATGCCTGAGTCTCCATCAGGCTCCCGTGAAAGCCCAACAAGGAGGAAATTGTCGTGTCGTCTTTTGTTATTTTTCCAAAACCGAAGTTGGTGAAACAGCCCCATCTGAAAACAGACCAGGAATAAACCTAGATGCTGCTGCTGTTGGGGGCCGACGAGTCGACTCTGAGTCATAGTGACCCCATGTGACAGCGTGGACTTGCCCCATAGGGCTTCCTGGGCGGTAAGTGTTACGGGAGCAGGTGGCCAGGTCTTTCCCCCCAAGGAGCCATGGTGAGTTCAAACCACTGGCCTTTCAGTTTGAAGCTGAGCACTTAACCGTTGCACCACCAGGGCTCCTGAACAAACCCAAATAAGACATTGCCTAAAATGTTATGATTTACTGACACAGGAAATGTGAACTTGGAAGCAAAACACACCTACTCCAAGACCCAAAGACTGCTGGGGAGCCGTGTGCACCACATAGCCGGCTGTGTGCACTGCTGGGGAGCCGTGTGCACCGCGTACACGTGTGTGCTGTTGGGGAGCCGTGTGCACCGCGTACACGTGTGTGCCGCTGGCTAGCCGTGTGCCCCATGGAGTTTCAATGGCTCCTTTTTCAGAAGCAGATCACGAGGCCTGTCTTCCAAGGCACCTCCGGGGGACTGGAACTGCCAACCTGTTAGTCAGCAGCCTAGCACTCAACCATCTGTGCCCTGGGCCCTGAAGACCTGCCCACAGATGAGACCCTGGGTGCTTGTAAAGGGCACCTCA